CGATTGCAAAATCAGTAACATCTATTAACTCCCCCTTCCCCACGCCCGACAAGCAAAACAGCTGAATGTCTCTGGGGTTTGCCATAAGTACTTTTTAAAAGACTATGGTCTGAGATACTTCCTGCCTCTGCCCTTTCTGTTCCTTTCTCCACCATTGTGTGAGTGCTGCTATGTTCCATCTTCACTATGTCTTCTCATAAGACTTTCAAGAGCAATACATTCCTGGCCATGAAACAAAAGCAGAATCGTTCCATTCCCCAATGGATTCGTATGAAAACTGGTAATAAAATCAGATACAACTCCGAGAAGGCACTGGAGAAGAACCAAGCTGGGTCTCTAAGGAGTCACACACATGATGGCGAAGCACATAATAGACCCAGGTCTTAGCACCCTACCATAGCAAGTTCCATTTTGCCAAGATTTGATCAATTAAACATGTTTTGCAAAACTTCTGGTTTCTTCCTTTATTTTTATGCTTCTGCATTTAAAGAGGTTGACTAATAAATATGTGAGACCTTTGGTTTGAAAACAAATAAATAAATACTATGGTCTGAAAGAAACCAAGAATGAAATATTTGCCTCCATGGAGCTCACATTGCAGGTGGGGAGGTAGATAATAAATAAATGCCTGCAGAATGCCAGGTAGTGGTGATATGTGCCACAGAGGAAAAGATTGCAAAGGAGGATAGGAAGTATAGGGTGGGTGCAATTTTAAATAGGGTGTTTTAGAATGTCCTACTGAGAAACTGTGGTACTCCAGGTTAATGCACTGGACAACTAAGACGGTTTGAACCACAGGATCGGTGGTTCAAGCTCACCAGCTGCTCCTCGGAAACCCTCAACAGGGTCACTATAGGTCAGAACCAACTTGACGGCACTTATCAACATCAACAACTTGGAAACTGTGGCTGTTGTGGCACTGTGAATGAATGCGCTGGACTGCAAAGTCGATTTGAACCTTAAGGTCAGCAGTTCAAGCTCACCAGCTGCTCCTTAGAAACTCTATACAGGATTGCTATGGGTCGGAACCAACTCAATAGCACTTAAAAACAAAAACTGAGAAACTAACATTTTAAGGAATACTTGAAAGAGGTGAGCAATTGAGCTATTCAGATATTTTTGGGGAAAGCATTTCAAGCAAATGATAGCAAGCACAAAGGACCAGCAAGGGACTCGTGTATAATGAGCAGAATTAGCAAGGGCACGAGTCCTGGTATGGAGGTGTCAGATAAGCACTGGACTCCTAACTACAAGGTCAGTGGTTCAAACACCCCAGCCGCTCTTCGGAAACCCTATACAGGGTTAGTATGAAATGGAACTAACTCAATGGCACTTAGAGACTGTGCATGAGGAAAAGAAGGGTATGGGTGGGTGTGGAGTTTGTGTAAACCTCTAATAGACTGCTTTTACTCAGAAGGAAGTGGCAATGATGGCAGAATTTTAAGCAGGAAAGTGAGGTCATTTCCCTGTATTGTACCAAAGTATGAGAGACATGCAACATATTAAGTCCTTCAGGGCAAGGGGTCTTCAAAAACCGAAAACACAAACACTGCAGTCCTATAGTCAGGAGGGAACAGTCGCTGGAGAAGGATGTCATGCTGGGTAGGGTGGAGGGTCAGAGAAAAAGTGGAAGACCCCCAACGAGATGGATGGGCCAGGTGGCATCATTGATGGCGTCAAGTGTGGCGGCGGTAGTGAGGTTGACCCAGGATCGGACATTGTTTCGTTCTGCTGTGCATGGGGTTGCTATGAGTCGGTTCCGACTCGATGGCACCTGACAACAACAACAACAACAACATAGTCACAGAATACTCTGAACATCTCCAAGACTCAAATGAATGTAGTTCATTTAGCTAGTCTTCTGGGAAAAACTGCATTCTTAGGATGATTCAATGAAATTTCTAGGATTCAAGGTACAGTTCCACAAAACACCAGTGAAATTTTACAAAGAAAGGAACGGGGCCCTAATGTACTTTTCTTTGGATGAAGATTCTTAACTTTGGAGGCAATCATTCTCCAGTAGCTACCACCTCCTGAGTGCGTATATATAACAGGAACTGTACTAACAAGTGCTTTTTGGGTGTTTAGTATACTGAATCCTCACAACCACCTTATAAGAAAGATACACTTTCCCCTGCTATATGAAAGTAAAGCATTCTTATGAAACCTTTCCTAAACTGAAATGGTATGAAATCAAGAAGCAATTGTCACTTATTTATATAGAAAATTTTGAGCTGTCCAGACTCAAAGAATCACCTACCAAATCATAATCAAAGCTGCTGCTACTGAGTCTATTACAACTCAGTGACTCCATAGGACAGAGTAGAAATGCTCTTTATGGCTTCTGGGACAGCCACATCTTTTCCCCATGGAGCATTTGCTGGGCTTGAACTGCCTGTCTTGCTGTTAGCAGCCAAACATGTAACCCACTATTTGTTGTTAAATGCCGTGGAGTCGGTTCGGACTCATACAGATTTTTAACAAGTGGCTGTTGAGTTTGAACCTCTGACCTTCTGGTTCAAGCCAACATTACCGCCCAGTGCTTTATCCCTCAGCTCCACACCAGGACACACCAAACACAGTCATAATTTATTTCATCCGTGTTGCTGTGCGCCGTAGAGCAGATTGGAATTCATAGTGACCCCATGTGACAGACTAAAAGTTCCCCACAGAGCTTTCTAGACTGCAATCTTTTTAGAAGTAGATGCCAGGGTCGCCAGGGTCTTTCTCCTGAGGAGTCACTGGGTGGGTTGAATCGCCAACTTTTTGCTTAGCAGCAGAGCCATTAACCGTTGCGCCACCAAGGCTACTTTATTGTATACTTAGACATTCTAAAGTAAAAAGTATTAACTCCATATTGTAGGTAAAATACATAAAGCTTGCAGAAGGTAAATTGCTCCATCAGGGCTCTAGGAGAAATGAAAGGTTAAAGGTACAGCCCACGTCCGGATATTTGCATTCCATTGAGCCATCTCATCCGCCCAATCCCACCTGACGGCGGCCCCGTAGCCTAGCAGACAGGGGCTGGCTGGTGCACTTCGCGCAGGAGTGGCGAGTCGGCAAGACCCGACGATGGGGGGTGTGGCCGGGGCGCCGAAAGTTCGGAGTGGGCGTGGTCTAGCCGTGTGTTCCGGCCTCGGGGCGTGGCCTCCAGCAGGTGAGTCGAGCGGCTCCGGTTTCACTGAAACTTACTGGGAGCTGCGGAGACAATCACCGAGGCTCCAGGTAGGGGTAACTTTCTCTCCGAGCAGCGAGTGGGACTCTGAGTGCCCCGTCAGAGGAGGTGAGATCCGTGCCCGACCAGCGTCGGGCTGCTGGAAGGATGCGGTACCCCAGCGTGGCATGGCTGCTAGGGGCCGCAGTCTTGCTGGTGGCCGCTGCCTCTTGCAGTCACACCACCCAAGGTGAGAAATTGGGGGAAGGACGGCTCGTACTGCTGGGACCTTGGGGTGCACAACCCTTGGGCCGCGCGGGGTCCTGGGCTCACTGGGTAGATGGTGGAAGCGGTTGAAGTGTGCGAAGGTGTTCCGCCGCCACCAACTCCCTGCACCCCGCGATCTCCACTCCGCGGTTTGGCTGGGGGGTATCCCTGCGCCGGGGAGTCACCTGCAGAGATGCGTGGTGGGAGTGGACAACTAAGGTCGACAAAGCCCGGCAGGAGGCAGAGATTCCCCCAAAGAAAGATGATCACGCCTCGTCTCGCTGACCCGACAGGTTTTGGTTCTGGGGAACCCCAGTCCCTACAGCTCTCGGTGGCAGAGGAGGGTGGCAGGGCTAAGTGCCTCGTCACAGGGCGCTCCGCCTCCCCTCCGCTGGGTTGGTGTCTGAAAACACAAAAGTCATTAAGAGCCTTTCACACACCCAGGCGACTTCCTCCGTTCTGCCCCGCGGGGTTCCAAGGCCTTTAGGGAGTTGGTAGCGCTGGCAGGGAATTGTCTGGTTTCTGTCTTTACCCATTTTTTAACCCCTTAGTGGCCACTCTTCAAGACCCACACAGGGCCCGCAGCTCCGGGCTAAGCGGGGTGGCCACGTAATATCCATGGACATTCTGAAAGTCGGTGTAACGAACATCTAGTTTTAGGCCATCTGGCCTTCACGTAGCGCTGTAGGATAAGCCCTAGACTGCTAACCACAAGGTCTGCAGTTCAAACCCATCAGCCACTCCGTGGGAAAAAGATAAAGACTTTCTGCTTTGGTAAAGATTTGCAGCCTCGGAAACCCTATTTAGGATTACCCTGAGTTGTAATCGTCTCGATGGCAGTGAATTTGGTTTGGTTTGGGATTCGCAAAAATTTTAGGGTTTAATTTATTGGGTGTGGTGGAGTGGATTTCTATGCATAGCGACTCCATGTAACAGTATAATTGCCCCATATTGTCTACTAGGAAGTTCTGGTGTGGTGCTGTAGGATGAGCACCGGACTGCAAAAGATCTGCTGTTCAAACCCACTAACTCCTCCTTGTACAGAGTTGCAGTGAGTCGGAACCGACTCAATGGCACTTAACAAAAACAACCATCTTTACAGGAACTTACTGGCCGGCCTTTCTCTTACAGAGCCTCCGGGTGGCTTGTGTAGTAGAAAAAGAATGACACAGAGGTCTGTAGGCCGAGCCTGTCAGCGCTCCGGAACCGAACAGAAGGAGGAAACAGCCCAAGAGCATGGCCGCAGTGCTCTGGGGCTGCCGGGGGTGAGGAGCTCGGGCCGCCGGTGTTAACTTCCGGAAACTGCACCCCCATATCGTTATTCTGATGCTAAAAGTCTTTTTGGTGTTTGGGGACTACTAGTTGCTATCGGTTCCGACCCATAGCCACCTTGTATAGGGTTTTGAGGAGCAGCAGGTGAGCTTGAACCACCAACCTTGCAGTTTGGTGCATTAACCCATAGCTCCACACTAGGACTCCTTGCGGACTACTTGGGTAAAATTAAAGGAAGATTTTAATTTCCCTGTGAAATTTGTATTCCTGTTGTAAAAGGCAGTTTGTCACTTGTTCCCCCTTTTATTTAAAAATAAAAACAAAACAAAAGATCACTGATTTTTATTAAAAATGGTTGGATTAAAGGTAATGTAACGTAGCCACAATTCAAACATTTTTTAAAAACTCCGAAAAGCAAGGTTTTTTTAAGTAGTTGATTTGTCTTGTTTTCTTTGTATTTAAATAAATGTTTGGCAACACATTTGCACAAAACCTGATCTGAACTCCTGGGAGCCTGTTCTTGTTCTGTGTTTATCTCCTTTTGTGTAAAGGCGCAAACATTTTGCTGCAGAAATCTTCATGTATTTTACTCAGTGTGCATAGAGAAGCTGTGTTATAGATGGAATATGCAGGATTTATTTACCTTTTACATCTTAAAAACTTTCAACTGTCAGACACATTTGGCCTCAAAAATTTGGACAAGGCAGTGTAGACCTGCTTCATATGGGAAAATAAATGAAGGTGGTATGCAAAAAACTGAGATTTTTGCCAGACACTGACCTTGTTGTTAAAGTGCCGCTGAGTTGTTTCCAGCTCATAGCAGCCCTGTGTAGGGTTTCCAAGGAGCAGCTGGGTGAGCTTGAACAGCTAACTTTGTGGTCAGTAATCCAGTGCTTATCCTACAGTACCACATCAGGACCCCAGACACTGACTTAGGGTGACTTTATTAACATTGAGGGCAGTTTCTCACTTTTATCTTCCTCTTCATAAAGAACAAATTGTAGTAAATTGAATTCGATGGGAAAATGTGATTCTTTTGTCTCTGCTGTTAACAGAATAGGGTGTAGTAGTATAAGCTTGAAAACCATATGTACACATTTTTATCTGTCAATACCAGAGTTAGAGCCGTTGAGTCATTTCTGATCCATAGAGAACCCTGTATAGGGTTTCTGAGGAGCAGCTAGTGAAGTATTTGTGGGAAGTACTAAAAACTGAGATTAACAGTTTCCCATTTACATTTGCCCTTTAAAGTTGGATACTTAAAATTCAGTAGCAAATTTTCAAGAAAATCCGTGCTTATAGAAGATGCAACACTTGTGGTTCAAGCAGTAATAATCTGTAGGAAGCATACAGTATTTGGGTAGTCATGTGGTAGTGAATCCGGCTGTGAACCGCAAGGTCAGCAGTTCGAAACTACCAGCGGTTCTGCGGGAGAAAGATGAGGTGTTCTGTTCCCGTAAAGATTTACAGCCTCGGAAACCTTGTGCAGGGTCGCTATGAGTGGGAACCGACTCCACAAACGACACTTAACAACAACAAAATTGTTTGCAAAGTGAGCGGTCTGGAGGTGGGTGGGATCCCTGGAGAATAATGGGAGCTTGATTTAATAAAATAAAACTAAGTTACTTGTTAACTAGAGCTACTTGGCTTTTTTCCTCTGCATACTTTTATTCCTCTGCAGGGTAATTTTCCTGAAGGATTGTTACCTAACACTGAGGTTTCCAATAGATGGAGCTTTCCTCCTAATTTGAAACTCTTTAAACTGGTGTTGATTAAGAATACAGTATCACAAAAGCTTTGCTGCTCCTCAGTCTTTGTTCATCTGCTTTTAGTTTTACTCTTCAACATGTTCTCAGGTTTGTTAATGGGACAGATTTTGGGGTTTTCTTCCCAAAGATCTTACCCCAGAACTTAGCCTAGAGTATAACCTTTTCATTTTAAGGACGAGAACATGGAATTGGTTGGGGGTGGGTGGGAGTTGTTGTTGTTAAGTGCCATCAAGTCGGTTCTGACCCATAGCGACTCTTTATAGGGTTTCCGAGGAGTGACTGGTGAAGTTGAACCACCAACCTTGCGGTTCAAAAAGACTATTCAGTCTAGTGCATTAACTCACAGTGCCATAGGGGTAGCAGGGAACGAAAAAAAAAGAGACCATTCCATTAGACCCTGTCTTTATTTTCTGTCACAGTCATAGATAATTATTTGGGACATTTAATCTATCTCCCTGGTAGATAATAAACTCTAAGAGGTCAGGGAGCCAAGTATCTCTAATCACGTTTAACACAGTCTCAGTCACCTAATGGACTTGAGTAAATATTGAATGAGGAGTCCCTGGTTGGTGAAAATGATTAGCATACTTACCTGCTAACCAAAATGTTAGCGGTTTGGTGCTGTGGGTTAATGCACTGGACTGCCAAGTTGGTTTGAACCACAAGGTTCAAGCTCATCAACCACTCCTCAGAAACCCTATACAGGTTTGCTATGGGTCAGAACCAACTTGATGGCTCTTAACAACAACAAGGACATCTTGGAAGAAACTGATAATCTACTTCTGAAAAATCAGCCATTGAAAATTATGGAGTGCAGACCTACTCTAGTACATATGGGCTTTTTGGCTGGACAATGACAGCACTTCATTTAAGGATGCTTATCTCAAGCACTTCTTATTTTTACCATGTTCCTGGCCTGGTAAGTCCCCTGTGATGCATAATTCCATTTCTGTTTTGGAGACTGGAACTTCTAATCTCTTCATTACTGTTTTGTTGGTGGTTCTTAATTATACAGGTAATATATGATCACTCTAGGGGAAAAGGGATTCCTGGTGTGGCACTGTGGGTTAATGCGCGAAACTGCAAAGCTATTTGAACTGCAAGGTCAGCAGTTCAAGCTCACCAGCTGCTCCTCGGAAACCCTATACAGGGTCACTATGGGTTGGAACTGACTCGATGGCACTTCACTACAACTACTAAGGGAAAAGGAACCTGCTAGCATAGTTGGTTAATTATCGGGCTGCTAACATAAAGAGTCATGGTGTGGCACTAGAGGTTAAGCACTCAACCGCAAGGCCGCTATGAACCAGAAGGTTGGCGGTTTAAACTCATCAACTGCACCTCGCAAACCCTATACAGGGTCACTCACTATGAGCCAGAACCGACTGGATGGCACTTAACAACGACAACAGAAAGTTACGTAGTTTGAACCCTCCAGCTGTTCTGGGGGATAAATCTGTTTATATAAAGATTTAAGCCTTGGAAATCCTACGGAGCAGTTCTACTTTGCTCTATAGCATCCCAGTGAACTCAATGGCAGTAGTTGGGTAGGGAAAAAATACACAAAAAAAGAAAGGAAAAAGTTAATTAAACCAACCTAAACTTCAATACCACTGCTCACATTTTGCTGTATATCCTTTCAAAGACACATGCACACTCATATGGGGGTACACGATATGTAGCCACATATGGCAGAAATGTTGTTGTTACAAGTTTGGTTATATAAACTAATCAGTAACATCAAATATGAAATGTTCAAAAAAAATTTTTTTTTCTTTTTACTTCTTAATGTCATTTGTGTGGCGCTGTGGGTTAATGTGCAAGACTGCAAAGTCAGTTTGAAATGCAAGGTTGGTGGTTCAAGCTCACCAGTAGCTCATTGGAAACCCTCTAGAGGGTTGCTATGGGTTGGAACGGACTTGATGGCATTTAACAACAACAA